CTAAACAAGAACTAAACCTAAAGAGTGACTAAAAAGGTCTAAAAGGTCTAAACACGAGAACTAAACCAGGTCTAAACAAGAACTAAACCAGGTCTAAACAAGAACTAAACCAGGTCTAAACGAGAACTAAACCAGGTCTAAACGAGAACTAAACCAGGTCTAAACGAGAACTAAACCAGGTCTAAACGAGAACTAAACCAGGAACAACATAAGTCTGCTGTCGTCTCTGTAAAAATCAGGTGCAGTTCCTTTAATGCCACACTGTGAAACATTCCAGGCAGAACTATATCATCTCTAAGGATCCTCCAGCAGGAAAGTCCCGTAGTGTGGCTTTACCGTCCTTGTTCCCATCTGGTCGTGTACATTTTTGATTTCCTCCCTGAGTTTGCCCTGTCAGGCTCCATCATTCCGCCTGGTTAGAGCCGTGACAGGTGCAGAGGGACTCCTGTCTAAAAGTGGACCAGGTCTGCGCAGGGACCAGGGACCAGGGGCCAGGTGTGGACTAGAACAGGACTATAACCGGACTAAACCAGAGCCCAGACCGGGTCCAGGCACATGTGAGGGTTTCCTGTGGGAGGATCAACGGAGCGGAGGACATGAGAACAGACAGGTGTATGTAGACCTGGTTTTGACCTGGTTTAGACCTGGTTTAGACCTGGTTTAGACCTGGTTTAGACCTGGTTCTGTTCCGCTTTAGTCCAAGTTTTGTAGTGCTTTAGTTTTGTGTGATTTATGGTTTTGTCCTGTTGTAATCCTAATTTAGACCTGGTTTAGTTGTTTTTTTAGTCACGGTTTAGTCCTGCTTTAGCCCTTTTTTAGACCAGTTTTAGTCCTGCTTTAGTCCTGGTCTAGTCCTTGTTTAGTCCTGTTTTAGTCCAGTTTTAGTCCTGGTCTAGTCCTGCTTTAGTTCCCAGTTTAGTCTTTGTTTAGACCAGTTTTAGTCCATGGTTTAGTCCTGCTTTAGTCCTTGTTTAGTCCGGGTTTAGTCCTGTTTTTAGTGCTGGTCTAGTCCTGGTCTAGTCCTTCGTTAGTCCTGCTTCAGTCCTGGTCTAGTCCTTCTTTAGACCGGTTTTAGTCCAGTTTTAGTCCTGGTTTAGTCCATGTTTTAGTCCATGTTTAGTCCATGTTTAGTCCAGTTTTAGTCCATGTTTAGTCCAGTTTTAGTCCATGTTTAGTCCAGTTTTAGTCCAGTTTAGTCCAGTTTTAGACCATGTTTAGTCCAGTTTTAGTCCAGTTTTAGTCCATGTTTAGTCCAGTTTTAGTCATGTTTAGTCCATGTTTTAGTCCATGTTTAGTCCAGTTTTAGTCCATGTTTAGTCCAGTTTTAGTCCATTGTTTTATTTAGTCCAGTTTTAGTCCGTTTTAGACCATTTTAGTCCAGTTTTTAGTCCATGTTTAGTCCAGTGTTTAGTCCAGTTTTAGTCCAGTTTAGTCCAGTCCATGTTTTAGTCCAGTTTTAGTCCATGTTTTAGTCCAGTTTTAGTCCATTTTAGTCCATGTTTAGTCCAGTTTTAGTCCAGTTTTAGTCCATGTTTAGTCCAGTTTTAGTCCATGTTTAGTCCAGTTTTCCAGTTTAGTCCAGTTTAGTCCTTTAGTCCATGTTTTAGTCCATGTTTAGTCCAGTTTTTGTCCAGTTTTAGTCCAGTTTTAGTCCATGTTTTAGTCCATGTTTTAGTCAGTTTTAGTCATGTTTTAGTCCAGTTTTAGTCCAGTTTTAGTCCAGTTTTTAGTCCATGTTTTTCCAGTCCAGTTTTAGTCCAGTTTTAGTCCATGTTTAGTCCAGTTTTTGTCCAGTTTTAGTCCAGTTTTAGTCCATGTTTAGTCCAGTTTTAGTCCATGTTTAGTCCATGTTTAGTTAGTCCAG